GAGGAGCTGGTGCTACTTTTTTTTTTTAAATATTGCATTGTGCATTATCAGAGAACTTGAGAGATCATCAGTATGTAACAAACTGCATGGTATCAGTTAGCATATTTGTTGTAAGATGTATTTCACTATTCAATTATACCATGGATGGGCTGTGTAATCACATTTTTAGCTGTTGTTTTCAAGCTGTTTTGAGTTGAGGCTTCATTTTTTTTCCAAGTATGTGAATGTAAATCAAGGGATACAGAGCCATGCCTTTACCAGTATGTGTCAGTTGAGTTGTTTCCTACCATGTGGGAGAGAATACCAACCACAACAAAAGACTTAAATGCACTGCTTCTGCTCTGTGTGGCAGACAACTCCAGGGTCTGAATTTGTTTCTATTTGAGAATAATAAACTCTGCAGCTTTCAGGGGAGAGATGCATATAAAATATGAACCTTGAATATTCAACCCTGAAAGCTGTTGCATCAGTCTTTTTTTTGACTTTGGAATTCTCTTAACAGCCAGGATGAAGTGGGATGTTAATGATCCTGAAGATCCCCAAGAGGTGCTGAGAGGCTGATGGAAAGAGCAGCTCTTTTGCTGCCTTCATCTACGATGGTTGGAGAATTAGGGTTTAAAAAAAGCTGTATGCAATATTTGTGACCAAGACTGGTGAGGTCAAGAATATGGATAGTTGTTACAAGACAGATATTTAATCTAAGGAACAGTGCTAATAATTACAGTCAGCCTCTCTGAATGCCTGAACCATTCTGATTAGTTGGTATTGTCTTCTAATGTGTTTTCTTTCTACCAAACAGTTCTACAGTAGTAATGACCAGTACAAAAGCATAAGTGTAACCCAAAGCTGATATTTTTGTGCTAGATGAAGTGTTCTGTACATTATGATTTTCTGTCTCACATAATTTGAGGTTTTATTGATCCCTTCTTGAGTTTTTAAAAAGCATTAAAAGAAAGGTCTGTAGAATTTCTGCGGCATATTAGGATACTGCAGTTCAGCAAAGTTTTATGCTTTGCTTGTAGAGGTCCTACAGCAAAGAGCTCTTTGAGGAGGTCATATCAAAGATGAGAAAGGCTGGAATCAAATCAACCATAGCAATAGAAAAATTCAAACTTCTGGCAGAGAAAGTGGAGGAGATTGTTGCCAAGAATGCCCGTGCAGAAATTGATTACAGCGATGCTCCGGATGAATTCAGAGGCAAGTTGATTTCTCTAAATACTGAATTGTTAGGTCAACACAGATTTGTTTTGTTACTTTGTTTTAAGTATGATTATGTATCAGTAGAGACTGCGTTTATAGAGGCTTACATCCTTCTCCATTTCAATTAAATTAGCCAACTAAGAGAGACAAAAGGAGGGTTTTTTTGTTTGTTTCCCTGGAACTGCGTTGTCCAATCCAAGCCTTGTCTTCACTGCATGTGATTTGAAACAGTAAGGAAAAAACAATCTGAAATATGGTGAAAGTGGCTAACTCTTAACCTTCATGCTGTTTTTTCCTACCTGTACTGGGGCTAAATCCACTGCTCATTTTATCTTGCTGCTGCTTTTACCTATTTTCTGTAACTTCAGCAGTATAGCTGATTGGAGGCGGAGTATCAGTTCTGTGCGGTAGGTCTCTGTTCAGGTGAAGCTTTCTGTTGTTTTCAGTGTGATGGTTGTGTCCTCAGATCCGCTCATGGACACTCTGATGACTGATCCCGTGAGGTTGCCATCTGGAACCATTATGGACAGGTCAATCATCCTGAGGCATCTGCTGAATTCTTCCACTGATCCCTTCAATCGTCAGACGCTGACAGAAAATATGCTGGAACCAGGTATCCTTGCTTCTAAGGTGGTGATGGACCTGTTGATGGGGGGAAGCAACACGTGTGCATTTTCTGCTCCATATAATATCAGAAGAAAGCATCGAGGCCTCCTAAGAACTATCAGTTCTTGAACTTCAGCTTGCATGGAATACTTAATTCCTTATTTCTCCTTTTTCTGAAAATAAAATTGAACCACCCTTGAGTTCATAACTACTGGGCTAATGGATATTGTTATGTTAGGTAAATGGGTAATTCATTTACTTAAAGCTGTGCAGAAAATCCATTGATAGAAGAAAATAGCAGTAGATATTCCTGATTGGGTTTCTAGAAAAAGACTTGCTATTAGTCATAAGAAGCAGCATTACTAAATAATTGAACTACCAAGTTAATTATTTTTTTTTCCTCTTCTTTACCTTATTAGTGCCAGAACTCAAAGAGCAAATCCAAGCCTGGATGAGAGACAAGCAGAATGCTGACCATTAAGAGTTCCCTTGCAGTGCACGCCAACACCAGTGGGAAGAGCAGGGCGTGGGCTGTGGGCTGACACTGGGGCAGTTACACTTGGAAAGCTGCTGATGGGATTAGCACGCCCACTGGCATAACTTGCTGTAGCGACCAGAAGCATGTGGACAAGAAGAAAAGCAGCTTAAATCTTGTACATATATTTAAGTGATAACGATGGTCAATAACACGGAGGACAAATTAGGAAGTTGCTTATGTTACAAAACTGTCCTTCAGTATGTCACGTTTTGGAGTTTTTACAGCTGAATTATTTTAGCAATGATGAATGGATCAGGGCAGCATCCTTTCAACCTTATTTTTTACAGCCGGATATCCGTTAATTTGATTGTGGTTAGAACCTTGGACATTTTGCTGCTAAAATAACTTTTTCCTCTTTCCCTCCCTTCTTCCAACCATCAGACCTGCACTGCTGTCTTTTTTTTTTTTTTTTTTTTTTAATGCAAAAAAAAATCCCTGTGAAGAAACAAAATCATTCCCCTGCCCTCAAAAGAATATACTCTGTGCGATAACTGTGCCTGCAACAAAGTGTTAATCTTGGGATCGTATTTTTATATTATGCATATTCACATATTTGTTTTTTTAATTGGTGTTAGAAGACATGAGGATGATTTGCAAAAGGCAAGGATTTGACATGTGAATTTTAAGTTCTGTTATCTGAGATGTCCCGCTGTGCTGATCAAGATGCTCTGGTATTTTTGAAAGGCCTTGATACTGAGATACATTACAAGAGCTGCCAAGAATTAGATGCTTGAGAATACGAGGATTTCAGTGACTTTTTAAAGAAAGAAAATCCATTCTTTTATTGCTGCAGATATAATATATGCTAAATGACAGTTCTGAGCCGTTAGAGCTTGTCTGCAGAGAGCAGATCCTTTTATTCTGAGGCTGCATTTTTGGGGGCAGGGGTCATTTTTTATGTTGCTTACCAGTTTGTATCCGTGGCTTGGCCTTACCAAAGCAAAAAGGGTGCAGGAAATGTAGAATTACATTTTTCTTTCTTTCTTCCTTTCTTTCTTTTTTTTAAGAAAAGAGATTAAAAACATTCACAACCATTTTTGTATTACTGCCCCCTGCTTCTGATACTTGAATTTCCTTTTTAAAAAGGATTTGAAACCACAGTGTTTTAAAATTAAGTCTGTAAAAAAAAGGTTGTTTTTCTTTTATTTGTTTTTCGCTGTGTCCTCTATTCAGTTCCTGACTCTTGAACTACAATAAATGATGATACACACTCGCAGAAAGCGTTTCCTTTGTCCATCATTCCTTTGAGTCAGTGAGAGCAGCAAAATACAGATGTCTGTTATTGATTGTGAGTTGGGAGCTGCTGATAACAAACATCTCAATATGGAAAAATGAACGCAGCTGTCAGCAGTACCTCAAATTAATGACTTTTCCTAATAGACTGAATCCTGGTGCCAAGGCCTCAGGGGAAGTTTTGGTTAGGTTGTGTATATGCCGTGCTGTATGGAATTTTAAGTTAAATTATTATTATTTTTTTCCCAAGGAGGCGGGGAGCATTCCATCTGCATGCCCTGTTGGAACAGAGAAATGTGTTTTATGCTTATTCTGGTTCCCTAATACAGATCCACAAATTCACAACTTTTTCCTCCAAAAGTCACAGCACAAAGCCAGCTATGCTGTCATTTTCCAGCTGTTTCTCAGCACCCAAATGCATCAAGGTTTATAATGTAGTAGGATGGTATGTAGCAAGCTATACCTTTTCACGAGGCTTTTTTTCAATCTTTTTAAATGAAGAAGTAATAATAATAATTATTATTATTTTTGCATGAAAAACTCATGAATGTGCAGTAAGAGATCAGCTCTGTGGGTGAACGTGAAGTTTTTTGGTGTTCTAAACTGAAGTGTATCAAACGCTCCGTTGCTCCAGATAAAAGATACAAGATAAAACAAGAACAAGATAAAAATTCTTGTTTGCAGAAATTCGGGATGTTTCCCTTAACCTTCTACACGGGGAAGAAACAGAAGCATTCGCACATGGCGGAGGTTGGAGGCATTGCTGGGATGAGTTTGGCGCTGGCAGCGGTACAGTGCAGAGCAATTGATTCTTCATCACAATTTACACTGAGGAAATGGCAACGTTTACATCTGAGTCAGCTGTTTGCCTCTGGCAGCGAGGGCGGACCGAGGCTCCTAATAGCAGGATGTGAGAATATTACTTAATTTAATCGCTTGCGTTAGAGAAGAGCGATATACGCTGAATGTCTCAGAAAATGTTATAATGGTGGAAATGGGAAACCCCGCCCCGTGCTGGCGGGCCGCCCCGAGGCGGGCACTGCCTCAGCGGCGGGGGCGCGCACAGCGGGCGGGGTGGGGACGCGCCCTCACGGCGCTCTTTGCGGATTAAAAGAGGGCGGAGGCGGATTCCGCCCCGAGCTGCGATTGGTGCTGCGGCCGAGGAGCCGATCCCGTTCGCCCCGAGGATCGCGGAGGGATTGACTCGGGAGGCGAAGCCTTTCATTGAGGATGGGTATTCCTGAGCTGCGATTGGCTCGCGGCAGTGTCAAGCTGATGATTGGCGACTAGAGGGGCGGGCAGGCACTAGTCTCGCGCGTGGCGATTGGTCAACAACGGGGCAGCGGGGGCAGCAGAGAGCGGCTATTGGCTGGGAGGACGTTTCACCCACCCCTCGGAGGCGGGGCCGCATGCTGAGAGCCGTGATTCTGTCAGTGTGGGAGCGGCGCGGTCGGGAGCGGACCGCTGTGCCGCTTCTCCCCTCCGCGGCCTTTCTCTCCTCCCTCCCCCTGTCCCCTCCCTCTCTCCCTTCTTCTCCTTTCCCGCTGTCTGCTCGTTCTCTCCCTGCGACGGGCGGGCCTCACGGCGGAGGCGGCGAATTGTGATGGGGGAGGCCGCTTTCTTCCCTTTCCCCCGCCCCGCTCTGCTCTCCTTCTCCGACCCCAGCCGCTGACGGCGCCGGCGGCCCCGCACCGCCCGCGGCCCTCGGACCCCCGCGGCGGCCGTCCCCAGGTGAGGGGCGCTCGGCGCCGAGGGAGTGTGGCACAGCGGTTGCGGGGGGGGAACGGAGGGAGGCGAAGAGCTCCGCCGGGAGTCGTAATGCGGAGCGGAGGCCGCTTGTTTACGCGCTGCCCGGCGGGGGGAGCGGGGGCCGCGGGTGGGCTGCGGCTCGGGGAGCGGGGCGGGCGCGGGGCCCGGAGCCGTCGGGGTAGCGCCGCAAGGCCCCGCCTCGCTGGTGTCTGTGCGGGCGTTCCGTCCCGGCCGCGTTTCCGTCCCCGGCGGTGCGGCCTTTTCCACGCCCGGCGTTGCGGGTGTCACAGATGTTCGCCGTCCTTCGGGCTCGTCGTCGCTACTCGGGATGCGGGCGCGGCCCTTGTGCCGGCTGCGGGGTGTGCGGAGCCGGAGGGTGACGGGGGGATGGATGGATAGATGGATAGATGGATGGATGGATGGCGCTTCCAGGGCGCCCGCCTTGTGTCTGAGCAGCGCCAGGTAGTGGCTCTGCCCCTGGCTGCAGCGCGGCGCGGTTCGAGGCAGCCATGTTGGGCTGGGGAGCTGCCGGCGCTCAGAGCCCGGGCGGGGAGCCGGGACTGGCATCGTGGGCAGAACGGGGGGTGAAACGTAGAGCGGCGTTCAGTGCGTGCTGATGGCGGCTTTCTGTCTGCTCTCTGAATCGCGGAATCAGGCGCTGAAAGACGTCTGTGCCATTTATTTATTTGTTTTTAAAGAGCATTCTTTTCATTTCCATCTCCTCTTCAACTGTTTTTTGTTATTATACGGCCCAGTATGTTGGCGTGTTGGTGAATACCCCACATGTTTATACCATCTGACTCTGCGCCTCTTCTATCCGGCGTTGCTGCTCTGTAGCGAAGTCCCAGGGCAGCGATTTGTGGTGTGTGAGTTCAGCTGATATGTCAGACCATCAGCACTACCCGATCCTCACAGGGGGACCTAAATTTGGATCCCCCGCCGCCCCCCTGTTGGTAACCCCTGCTGCTCTGAACAGCTGTTTTGCTCACTTTCCACACACTAATCTCTGGGCCCGTTCCTTGCCTTTCTTTAGAGCTGCTGTGTGGTTAAGTTACAAGTAGGAAACAATTTTTCTGTTTAAAAGTTGGCACATTCTCTGGTGGGCATCTCATATTGTTTCTTGCCCAGATAGGACTCAGTGGTTGACTGTTGAATAAAAGCAGTACTTCTCTTGTGTGCGTGAACCTTGTTTTTGTAACAGCTTTGGATTGGTTACAAACATGCTTGATGATGTAAATAAAATTTTGACCCTTTTAGCTCCTGTTTTGCTTGTAACAATCTCAGAAAAAAACAATACAGTCTGAATTGATTCAGAACTTCAGAATGCATCCAAGGCTCCAGGTTCCAATGAGGTTCCAGTGTTTATTTATGCATTTGGGTGGAGGCCCAAATGTAGTTGCAGGTGCTTTGAGATTATAAGTGGTGATTGACCAATGTGGTTGTGTTTGGCAGAGTGAATAGCAGAAAACAGACAAGGGATCCAGGTGATTTGTTTAATGATACGTTTTAACAATGAAACCTTGGTGTGTGACTTGTAGGACTTGGTGGGTGGTGGATATCATTTAGTAATAGTCTGGTGTAAAATTAATATGCAGGCTTTGCTTTTGTGCTGACAGAGCTCACCAGATGCGTGGGTGCTGCCAGTGGGGTATTGCATCAAGCACTCGTACAGCTCCTTTCTCAATCCTCAGTTGGATTCATACAGAGCAAACACTGAAAGCTACACAACTGGTAGATCCTTTTCAAGATGCAGAATGATTCATTCCGCCCCGAACAGCAGCCTTAGAAGCCTGGAAGGAACGTATGCAAGACAGCTTCATTTTCTTAAGGTTGTTCTTCTAAATCTGTCCCACGGGCTGTGTTACACATCTTCACTTACTGCTGAAGTTGTGTCTCCTCTTACTGCTCCTAGGCAGTGTTCTGTAGTACTCAGAGGTACTTTGGGAAACACGAACCTTGAAAAACCAGTTGCAGTTTATTTCTAGCTGTACAACGTGGTCTTGTTTTGCCTTGTGTCATTCTGTGTGGTGAAGGGCTTTATAAAACGTTATGACTAGTCAGTACATTTTAAAAGAAAAAAAAAATAGGTTTATGGGAAGACTGGAAAAATACGTGGTCTTGGGGCTGGTTGTCCTATAATTGAAACTAAACCTTGCCTAGTGAGGTGTTCTTGTGAGCATCAGAAGTCCATGGGCATCTGCAGGTAGGCATTTTGCTCCAGCTGTGAGAAGGGGCAGAATTGAGCGAGACAGAAGTGAATGTGGTGTCATTTTAGAGGAGCATAAAAGAGAGAGTTGATACCTTCGGAAGTCTCCCATTGGTTTTGGTGTTTTAGTGCATTGGTTTTGTGCTCTGCACTTCTTTACAGCTGCTAGGAACAAGGCTGCCATTTAGCCGGTGCTTGTGCAGCTGCTGGTGATGTCCTTGTGTTCTCTTGTTGTGAATGTGGTGTTTACTCATGGAATTAGTTCCCCATATTTTCGGTGTGCGGTTTGTTGGGAGCGCTGATTTTTGTGGGTTGAAGTGACACCACAGGCAGGTTGCTTAAGGCGCTCTGAGAGGATGTTTGGCTTCCACAGCCAGCGTGTTGTTGTCCAGCTGCTCTTTGACAGGAGCGGGGGTGATAGCACTTGGGGGAAGCGCTGCTGGTGGTGAGGCTGTTCCTGCTGGTGACCTGTGCTGCTCTGGAGCTGCATTGCCGTGCTAAAGAATCCTGTTCTGATGCCGTCCCTGACTGTCCTGTGACTGCTTCTGGTAGTCTGAAGGGTTAAAAAACAATAGAAGGGAGAAGCTTTTAATTCAGTATTGTGTAGATCTCACCTAATGTATTAAGCTCCTTTTCTGTCGTTTGTTGGGTATTTTTGAAGAGATGGTAGAAGAGGAGAAATCCAAGATGGCTATTGTGCAAGACAAAGGATTTGCACAGCAAACCTCCAGGTCAGTCAGCTGCTTATCATGCAGCAGGATGCGTTCCTGGAGCTGCAGTTTCTCTCTGCTGCCAGGCACTTTGGAAAGCAGTTCTGGCAGTTACTGCTGTTGGAGGTAACTAGCATTACATGGCCTTGTATTACCAGGAGCCAGGAGCTTTGTTTTCCATAATGTGTTCTGCTGCGTGTAACAATAAAGTGCCCGACTGCATCTTTTAATTTTGCTTACTCCAACAGTAGATTTTTTATTTATTTTTTTACTTGTCCCTTGATTGCTATTTGACAATGGCAGTTAGTGTGAGGTGAGAGCTCTGCTCGCTCCTTGTCTCTTTGCAGGGCCTCCCCATGGCACCGTGTTGCTCTCATGGCTCCCTTGGCTGGTTGTCATGGGTGAGAGCTGCATGGTGTCCTGCAGGGTGGTTATAGGATAGAATTAAATAGCAGATACAGTTATGCCTTCCACTAAGATATTTTTAGAGGCTATCTTATTTGCAACCTTAGTTCTTTCTTTTGCTGAGCTCTTAAATCAATGATGTCTCCAAGGTGTCTCTGATGGTTACAGCTCCTCTGAAGCCCCACTTCCCACTTCTGCTTTAACCAAATGTATCTCACAGACCAGGCATTTATCAGGAACACTTTCTGTTGTGTTTGGTTGTAAATTTCTCTTCAAGAAGGAGCTGCTTGCAGCTCTCAGTCCAGCAGATCTGAGCTGTGGTTCTGAGGTGCACGCAACTTCTTGAAAAGAGGATGATTCTTCCATTCCATCGTGTTTTCCAGCTTCAGTCCAGCTTTTCCTGTGTGTGCTGGTTATCCGTAGAGATAGAAGCAGTGCAGTAAGAGGTGTTTTGTGGAAGGGTAACATAAACAACTTTGGATGTGGGACTTCTCAGTATGAAGGGAAAATCCTTAAGTTTCATAACTGCTGCTATAAGAGCACATTGTGTTGTTTCCACATCTCTTCATTATTGCCCTTACTTCCATTTATTGGCCCTTGTCATGGTTTTCCTGTCGATATTGATAGGTGGGAGAAAGGAAGAGAGAACCACCCACCTACCCACGATGGGTGGCTTTTCCAAATCTGAGCCTTGAGAAATCAGCCACCAGTTTTCTGTTGTCCCGTGCTGTAGCACAGCCTATGGACATTCTGCAGCCTCTTCTATTTCTGTAGCCTGGTGAAGAAAACCCCTGAACTTCGAGTTGGACACAGTGCTGTGAACTTGGCGTTAACAGAGACTGCATTTGATAGGATTCTTGAGTTGTGTTTTGGATGCAGAGCATTGCGTTGGCCATGTGTGGCAGTGCTCCTGTGCTCTAGCAGCAATTCTCAGGGTCAGTTGGGTAATGCCACCGGGCTGTATCCAGATTAGTCTGTCCCTTAGCTCTCCTGAGGGCACAGGTACTTAGATGGGATGGAATTAGGAAGGGAGAGCATCATTTCCACTTGGGAGATAATCAGAAGGTGATAATGAAAGTGTAAACTTGAGACACACACACACACACACACACACACACTTAGTAATACTTAATCTCTGTGAAACACCCACAAAATCTCTTTTAAACTTTGCAAATCATGCAATTCATTCCCATTACCTCTTTGCTGTAGTCTGTTTAAGTTTGTAGTGCAACTTCTTCATCTCTTGCTAATGCAGAGCTGTAATAACTGGCTGTCTGCCTTGGAGCTACTCATTGTACCACTTTGCTGTGTCACTGAAATTCTGTTGGCTTGTTCCTGTGGGTTTTCCAAGCCTTGTATTCTGCTGAGAGACCTCTGGTACCTGCTGGAATAAGGAATGCTTTCTTCGCTGCTTCTGCTTGCTGGAGTAATTTAATTTCCATCTCCACCATGTGATGGCGTTACTGAAGTAATGCAGTTTTATTAAGATCTTGTCCTGTGTGAAGATGTCATCGCTTAAATTGAGCATTTACCTACCAGCTGGAGAACTGCAGAGCTGAAAAGCTTCTGCTTTTGATCTGTGTATGCTTTGTGATCTTGTAGTGTTGTGATTACATGACATGGATGTTTCTTTGCGTGGAGTACAGCAAGCCATGAAGCAAGCTTTCAGGTTTTCAAGGCCTTGAATGCTGACTAGTGCAGAGTAGGGTACTGTCTGTGTTCACTGGGGTTTGAGGTAGGGATGGCTCTGTGAGTAGCACCAGATTCACCTGATCCTTTGATCCTTTCTTCAGCAGTGGCTGTGGCAGATCTTTATCTATATGGGTAAACCCATTGTATCATCATGCCTTCTCAATGTAGCCTTCCAGGTTCCAGGCTGTGGCAGGGATACTTTCCTAGCCACAGTGGTGGCTTTGTTTTTTAGACCTTGATGGCTTCTTTTTGAAATCTATCTTATTGGTTCTTGAGCCTTAAACTTCAATACTTACAGCATCATGTGGCATTATGTCAGACTTCTTAATGGTAGACTACATGCAAAACTTTCTTCTAGTGGGAGGGGTTGTTTGGGTGCAATGCAATTGAACCAAGCACTATTATTTCTACATTGCAGAACTGTATCAGATGGATGTGCCTTGAGGTTGGGGTTGTGGATGTGATGAATAGTTTGCTCCCTACTGAAGTGCTTCATCACTGAGATGTGGCAGGTAGCATTTGGACAAGTGCTTTGATAGTAAATGAAGATGAACTCAGTGGTGAATGTTTGTGGGAGACAGAGATAGTAATATTTACCTGAAGGCAGTAATTTTTGATTCCTCTTCATCTCTATGGAATAGCCCTTTAATCACTAGATATACAAGTAGTTAATGAGTTCCTTTTTTTTTTTTTTCCTTTGGGAAAAGGAGATTCCCAGGAGTGCAGAGGGTTCTTTAAGGTTGATTGCTGCACCCTTTTGTCTGGGTTGGGGTGGATGAAGAGTCAGCGTGGGACGTCTGTCACACTTGTGTCAGTTTTACTCATACTGCTAATGCTTTGTGGCAGCAAGAGTTGACAGCTAGGGAACGTAGCTGTGTAGTAGATGGCAGCTAGTTCATTCTGAAATCTAAGCAGCTGTATCTTTACTGCTAAAATTATCTTTGTTAGGTTAAGCCTAACACATGTTGCAACCAGATCTTCTATTTGGTATTAGCGCCCCTTTCTGGGAAGAAAACCAAGCAATGAAAACAAATCTGCTTATATGCTTCAAAAGAGCTGCCTTGGATGACAGAAACTTTTGAATAGGGAGACAGCATGCAGGTGCTGTTAAGTGTATTTCCAGTTATGGCTTTGAAGTAGCAGCTTGTTCATGGGAAGGGTGTTTGCAGGGAGGATTTAAAGTCAAGCTATTTTGTACAACCCTTTTTTATCAGCACAGATGCAGGAGTTGTAAATAACCAAATTACTTTTTTTCTTTTCTAGAAAACGCCAGCAAGAAGGTAAACCTGAAGGGTTGTGACCTCCTCCACGTAACAGCTCAGTGTACAACAAGCAGCCAGAATGTCGGGGGCTTCTGTGAAGGTGGCTGTTCGGGTCCGGCCCTTCAACTCGCGAGAAACCAGCAAAGAATCCAAATGTATCATCCAGATGCAAGGCAATTCTACCAGTAAGTTGATTTAAGCACAGAAAGGTCTGTCCGTGTTCTCTCTCTCTGATTAATCCTCCTCTTTTTATCAGGCTAAACTCCTTAGTGTGTACTTTACAGCATCTAGAATTACTGTTCTAGTGAACCTTCAGGTCTTCTGAGACTGTTGCAAATGAAACTATCTCAACATCTAACTAGAAAGCATAAATCATAAGTTTGATGCTGTTGTTCATGGTGTTTGCTTGTGAGGAGTTCTGAATTCTGCAGAAAGATTAGGACATCCAAGTGAAAACCTCTTTGTTTTGTCTATATTGGAATGACAGATGTAGGAGTATGTTACAGGCCACTGTATCATAATTCTTGTGGTTGGTTCCTGCCTGGGTCTGCTGCCTTCCTTCCTGCTCTGCATATTTGGCAATCTGTGCTTGTGTCAAGGAGCATAGTATGAGTGAGAAAACAGAGGAGAAATTCCTGTAAAGTTTTAAGCTTTCCAGTCTAGATGGCAAAATAAAAGACTTAACACTTCTAATCTGTTAGAAATTAAGACTATTAAATTGTTATCCTGGGTCAAATTTGGAGGGTAAGACTCATCTTGGGGTAACTGGACATGGACACCATTGACTGATTAGTTTTTTTTTGTGTGCTTCAGAAGGTCAAGGCAGTTTAGATTCCGTTTTCTGCATTGCCCCATGTAGACTAAGAGCTATACCTATAAACAACTCTTCTTGTAGTATTTTTTACTGTCAAGTAATCAAGTAATGGTTCTTGCCCATAACCTAAGGAATTAGCATTCCAAGAGTAGTGAGTTACTTCACTCTTTGATTACTTGAGTATTTACTCATGCCTTTTAATGAGAAGGAGGCTGCATTCAGGCTTCCTCTCACTTCTTTTTTCTTATCTGAGGCTGTACTCCTGCAGTGACCTCTGGCTGTGGTGTCACTTAAATAATGCGCAGAGATGATTTTCATTGAAAGTGAGGTGTCCTGCAGAAAAGACTGCTTGCTTTTCAGTGCAATAAACTCTTATCTTTAGACCCTGTGCAGAATGTTACCTGACAAAACAATTTCTATTGGATTTTCAAGTTTCCATTAAAAATGAGCAGGGAAAAAAAATAATGTTTAGCAGTCATCTGTTGTAGAAACAGATCCTTGCATCCAAACGTTGCACGCCAACTTTTAGGCCAAAGCAGTGCAGAGGGGAAGAACTGTGGATACCATGAGATGGCATTCATTATGGAAATGCCACCAAGCTCTGAAATGCAGCAGCACTGCTGGGTGCCTCTGCAGTAGGCTTTCATATTGCTGTCATGATGTGACAGCAGTCATTTTACAAGCTTAGGATTGTTGAACTCCAGGAGCCTGTGGAAACTATTTGTGGTACAGTGACAGGGGTGACCACTGAATCTCTGTTCATCTGTCAACTGATAGGACAGAAACACCAGTTCTGTTTCTCAGTGCTGGAACTGCACTGCAGAGGCTCTTGAATGCCCAAGAAACTGCATCAGCTTTCAAAAGGAGGAAAATATTTCATGATTTATGTAGTTGGAAACTTATGTATGGCTTTTGCTGTATTTTGTGTCCTGGAAATGTTTGATCAGTGGCCTTTTATTCGAGTCCTATGGCTGTGATACCAGATGGATGGTAGGACAGATGGTGTCAGGTTGAAGTCATCAGGGCTATTACAGGCTGTGGGAAAGGAACCATCAGTTTCAGCAGTCTGTCAGTCTGCTGTTCTTCCCCACATTGCCCTCTTTGAGGAGAAATACAGCAAACAGCTGTAGACAGTAATTTTCTTCAATGAGTTACATTAGGTGCTATTATAAACTCTTAATAACTGAGCATTTCTGTTTCAACTTATCCATAGTTTGAACTTGAATTAAGTAGCTTTGTGCACTGGTAGAAACGTACAGGAATGTGTGGGCTGTGGCTCAATAGAACTACAAAATAAATGAACTAATGAAATATGCAGAAGTATCCAAAGCTGAACATAACGAATGCAGTCGTGCTCCTGCAAGAAGTGCTTTTGCCCTGAGTAATCAGGGCTTCTGCTTTTCCCTCTGAAGAAGGCAGTGTGTGGAAACTTTGAAACCAGTACCTGGCACGCCCTGCTTGTTTGTTCTGCTGATTTTTCTGACTTCTTTGTTATTCTTTATAGTTGCAGAAACTGCAGCATCTTGCACTTAAAGGATTGTCAGAGTGCATCACTGTGCCTTTCTGTTTTTGAAATATGCATTGCAGGAATGAAATTCTGCAGTCCAGCTGAAGTCACATGTGCTGACTGCATTAAGGGGCTGGTATTTTGGCAGAAAGCCTGTGCTGCTCAGATCATATCTGATTGCAGATGGTATCCGTTTGAATCATGCTGTCAGAAGTTCTGCAGTGGAAACGGGAGAACTGAGGGTAGAATGGAAGACAATAGTGGGATTCCTAAACATGGGACATAAACATGGGAACAGCAAAATCCTGCTACTGAAGCACTTAATCAGTGAATGTGCAATGATTTCCAAAGGCAACTTAGCATTACCATCAAATTGTTGGATAAAAACCAAAGCAAACGAAAGATGAAACATTGACTGAGAGGAGCGCTTTTAAGAAAGACCATCCTTGTTTTTTGTTGTAACTTCTGGGACCTTAGGAAAAAAATAAGACGTTTTTAAAAGCATTTGCTATGCACACAGATTCAAGTGACCTGAATGCTTTGTTTTCATTTGGATTTCAGTTCTGAAGGGCACATCTGTATTGCCCCTTGTGCAGACCTGTGCCCAGAAACCCTTGCACACAGACCCACTGGGTCGGGGCACAGTGCAGCTGTGTTTGTAGCACTGCCCTGGGGTCAGTCAGCAGTGCTGGGCTTCCTGGTGAGGGATAGGTGTGCCTGGAGGGAAAAGTTAATGGGCTCTGAAGACTTCTTATATTGATAATTAACTCCCTGGTGTGATCTTTCTGCTCGCAGGCCTTACACTCTGTAATACGTTGTTCCTTCCTTATGCTGCTATTGCAGATAGGAAATTTTTCATATAAAACTTAATATCAGACTTTCAGGTTGCTTTTGTGATGGTGTTTTGTTGATTAAAATCCCCCACAGTACTGAAGCAGACTGGAGCTTCTGCAATAACCCTAATGCAGTTTATCTTTGAGACGATTCCTTTTCATATTGGCAGTCTTTAAATTTGGAAGATGATCTGCTTTTGTATTTCTATAATGTACTGGATAGATGGCTTAACATGCTCGAGGTTAAACTCACCAGCAGCTTTTGGAAATAAGATTTCAATAACAGATCTTGAACCTCTGGATGTCGGCATATCTTGTTTGGATATGTTTTATCTCTTGCTTTTTTAATCTTTCCTTCAGAATGGTGTACATAGATGCATCTTACCTGCAGTGTGCTCAGCAGAGTCAGTCCATTCCCTAAATTACTGTCTTTATGAGTGGGAAAACCATCCTGCCGCATAATAGATGGGGTGAGAGGAGAGCCATAGATCTGAAAGTATTTTCTATCAGCAGTTCTTAGATTTCAAAAACGAGTAGATAAAATGTGAACAACATGGGCAGCTGCTGCCTTGGGTGATTGAATCATAGAGTCAGGATGAACTGTTCTGTGTTCAGAGAGCATCCCAGTGCTGTGGTGGTCTTGTGGTGCTTTGCTTTTGTTTTTCATAAGCCTGCTGTCCATTAAAATGAACAACACATAAATAAAAGTTAAAGTGAAGCAGAGGTTCAAGTTAGGAGGTGCAGGACTGCTCAGGTAGCTGTGGGTGGCTGAGTCTTAATGTCCTGGTCTTTTAAAAAGCTGAACAAGCTTATAGAAAAGCACAATGAAGGAAGGAAATGAGGAATTATTTTACTTGGATGTTCTCTGTAACTGGTCGTGATGGATTAAAAGAGGTTTTGGTGTCCTGTGTGCACTGCAGCCTGTGGGTGCCAGTGAAAGCAGTGTGTGTGCCAAGTGCATCTGCACAGCCGAGGTGTATCTGAAGGTGGGAGTGCAGCCAGCACCTCAGGCCAGCACTGATGATGGCCTGTTTGGGGCTTTTAACTCAGCATTTCTCCCTGTAGCTCTGTGATGATCAAACGTTTTTTCTGTGGACTGCTTAAGGTATTTTGTGCTTAATGAAAGTAGGGACACTGGAGCAGCCCAATCTGCCAGGAACAATAGTTACAGCTGCTGCTGCAGGCAGGTGGCAACCTGGCTTCTCAAGCAGGCGTCCTTGGTGGCAGAAAAGCTTTGTAAGGCATTCTGAGTTCAGTTTCTAGAGGTTGAGGGACAAAATACAACTTTTTTTTTTTTTTTTTTTTTTTAATTTCTAATGACTTGTTTTCATTATGTGTCTCTAAAATCTATCAATCATTCAAAGAAGCTTACTCCAGAAGGTAAAAAACAAACAAACTAGAATTTGCTGATCTTTTGCTTTCTCATTTAACTTTTGAGTCTTTTCTGAATGAAAAGGCACACTGAATGGAAAAGAAATGCTATTGTGTAATAACAGCAAGTTGGTTTTCTTTTGAAGTAGCATTCCATTAGTGTGGTTTGGACAGTTTCATTAAAGAGTTTGTATCATGGAAATAACCTTCGGTTTAAATCCCTGATGGGAGAAGTCCTTAATGAGAAACTGGCTGTTATTTAGGCTGGCACTGAGGACATGTGGGTAGTAAAGTAGTGGGAATTTGTGTAGTGAGTGCTACACAGGTAGGAAAGGCAAGTGAGGGATTCTATGGGAGCTGTCTTACCTAAATACGTTTTTCCTCCACTTAAAAACTTCAGGTGAGACAGTGGAGGTGGGAGAGTTCAGTTTTGATTCTCAATCTATTTTCTTCAAGTGAGTGATTGTGGGTATCAGCGAAAATGAACCCATTTCTGATATGCTTTGTGCCTGCCAAGGAGCAGGCATGAGTTCTTACAGCTCATCTTGTTTAGTTTGTTTTCTGCATACAGCTTGCTTCTGTTCCTGTGTGTTTGCCTCTTGAGGTTGTGTTGGGAAAATAAACTTTTGTGGAGTAAAGTCACTTAACCTCACCCAGGTT